GTGTACATTGTGTACGTAGTAAGAAGATATGATAACAGTCTGTAACATGGGAAAATGTGGGCAGAAGTTCTGCGATCGAGTCCACCAACTAAACCAGATTTTGAACAGTCAGATGTGCACAATCTAGCACAAAACTGACGAGGAGTACTGAGGCATTCCACGGCATGAAAGTCTGCATGGACAATAATTACGTACCTAGGATACTCAGCACACTTTCCTGTTCCCCAAGGGTGCATGCCTTATCACAGTGTTCAGCGGACAATGCCGGAACTGATCTAGTAGGTAACCTGATGCGACATACACTCGTGTAGTAAGGACTTTGTCCAGTGCGTGGGTGTGGTGCTCTGTATCGAAATAGGTTTGGATGTTTAAAAGTACACATCAATGTGTCCCATGCCGTTACGCTTTATCCGAGTTCCACCGAACCTATGGATAATAGGTACCTTGGATTCTACGCACAAATTTACTGTTCCCCAAGGGTGCATGCCTTATCCGAGTTCCTCTATATCTATGAATAGTTTATAAGTACCTCGGATACTGAGTACACTTTCTTACATCCTCATGGGGTGCGCCATATCCGAGTTCCGCTGTATTCAACTGCAGGAAAAGCGTGTGCGTTTATCATCTAAACTTCGCACATAACATACCCTTGGTTGACCGGCTCGTCCGGCTGCAGCATCATCGTCCTCGGAAAACTGTCCGCACAGTGTGGAGCAGCCAGTGCACGAACAGCCAACCACACACGCCGTTACGAACATGACGAGCGAAAGCACCGTGGAGATGCCGTGAATTACCGCTGATCCCATGGACACGGGAAGTACGTACTCTACGAAAGGTGAAACACAGGAACACGGGAAGCAGTCCTACACTGGGGTAATATGTTCATGATAACGATGAAATAGAATCTCAGATAGGCGCAAAAACAATAGTGAAAATGATTCCGGAAGAAGCTATTAGCCTCTTTGTTTTGATACAGTCAGAGCTGGTGGATACATATTTTAAGGTTTGGGCTATTTTGAAGTATGATTTAGGCGCACTTGAAGATAGTCCACTTTCTTAATCAAAGGTAGTCCAACCATAAAAAAATAGTTTCACAACACGAGAAAAAGAAAGGATGACGATCTTGTCGTAACTCCGAATTTCACCCTTGTAGTCTAGAAATGCTGTGAAACGGGAAATTTTAGTTCTATTATAAATTCGGTGCCAGGGACCTGACAGGTTTCAGGTGTAATGTAGAATTAGGTGACCAGCTTTCCCATCACAAAGAGTGCATACTGTAGAGGCTTTTAGGTGGAATATAAAATTTAGGGGGCCTCTTGTTTATTTTTTTACCGAAATCAAAGTTACACCGAAAATAGCATGTTTTACAGTATATATCTATATGTCATGGAACACAAGTTGTGCACCGAAATTTTCATGATGAGTCATGCCTCGGTAATCCTGAACTAATGTACGTACCGAAGATGTCATGACAATTGTCGACCCCATAGAATGGCATGATATCTCGACCGCCGTGGGAGCTCCCATAGCAGCAGCAGCACATGTTCGGCTCACGTGCCGACCATGAATACACTGGAGTACAGGCTGTAGACAGATAGACAGAACACATGCACACACATACACACACACACACACACACACACTCAGACTCAGATATGCCCATCGCAGAAGCTATGATGGCGAACAGCTATGTTAGAGACAACAACTTGTGCTGGGATCACATCATTTACCAGTTTCCCAGGCTGACGAATTCACCACCACCAGTACATGCACACACACACACACACACACACACACACACACACACACACACACACACACACACACACACACACACACACACACACACACACACACACACACATACACCATGTACCATGCATACGCCCGTCACAAGAGAAGCACGCAAATCTGCAAATGCACTGGATGTGCACCCACAGATTTTCTCTTTATAGCAACGATGGCGGATCTGATTCTGATTGAAACAGATCAAGACAAGCGCCAGGTAACTGTCTAATCCACACAACTGGCGAAGCCATGTGAATTGACCCCCCCCCCCCCCCCCAATGCACACCTGGTCTACACCACACGGAGTACATCGGAATAGGACGGCGAAGACAGCCACCTATGCACCCTACACTTGCTGGGGTAAGCAGTATAGACAGCACGCTGCTTTGATAAAAGCAGACACTAGATGCACTGGCACCTTGAAGTGAAATTGGAGTTATTCTACCAACCAGCCTCGGCAACTGGGTACTGGGAACCCAGGGCCAACACACACACACACACACACACACACACACACACACACACACACACACACACACACACACACACAAGCACACACACACACACACGCACAGATACTTCATTGAATATGGTCAAGAGTACAAAAGAGACCGGATCACAGAATTACACAACAGGCTAACAACTGACTCTTTTTTTCAGAATATTGTCACTTTTCGGTCAGAACTAGTTCCCAATTATCTTTGCAACAACTTGGCAGCCCCGTAATGGCAGTGCTCTGGGGGGCAGACATATGTTGAGGGTGTTGTGTCAGGAACTTAAAGGAAGGAATTTAGGTATGTGAAGTGGCCACGTCTGTACATACGCGCTGTGTCTGTGGCACTCCTTGGCCACCCCAGACATTCATGATAGTAGTACATCGTGTTATGTTATGCATCTAGCATGTGCCGTTTCCCGCCCGCGTGCTTGAAACGGATTTCGCGGCTTTTAGTTGCTGTGCATGAGTTGAGTCTTGGCTCTTGTTGATTTGGACTGGGGAATTGAGAGAGCTTGGAAGCTCAGGGCTCTACGCTACGCTTTTTTTGCCTACAAGTAGCTCATCATGCATGTTATTAGAACTGCCCCACATAATCGGATTTTCTGGCCTTTTTGCAGTACATGTAATACATTGACCTGCTGAGCCAATGAGGTAAATTATACTCCATACAATACGATACAATACAATAATGTCCTTGCCTTGATAGTGTGCTTGTGCTTAACTGTTGCAGCCGGCTGAATGCAGGTGGCCTGTGGAGCACATTACATAACTTTACAGTCTCCTATAATACGCATCCTGTCCGACGGCAAAAGAGGCTGCGGATTAAGTTTTTCTGCACATCATCAGCGATGACTACTGATCTTCAGCACCTTGGGTCTCCTATAATACGCATCCTGTCTATGCTTTTGTAATGCTAACATAATCCTCGGGTTAGCCCCATCCCTCACACAAACAAGTCAACAAAGAGGCATCTTTGGATTGAGGAGTGCTGGTTTCGAAACAACTGGTTTGAAGCTCAAAGTAGAGCTGGTGTTAGCTCAGAGCAGAGCTGCAGTTAGCTCATAGCAGAGCTGCTGGTAGCTCAGAGCAGAGCTGGTGTTAGCTCAAAGTAGAACTGCGGTTAGCTGAAAGTAGAGCTGCTGTTAGCTCCAAGTAGAGCTGCGGTTAGCTCAAAGTAGAGCTGCGGTTAGCTCAAAGTAGAGCTGCTGTTAGCTCAAAGTAGAGCTGCGATTAGCTCAAAGTAGAGCTGCTGTTAGCTCAAAGTAGAGCTGCTTTTAGCTCAAGGTAGAGCTGGTGTTAGCTCAAAGTAGAGCTGCTGTTAGCTCAAAGTAGAGCTGCATGACGTCAGTCTTGAATGCAGTACAAAGCAATGCAGTGCAGTGTGTGCGCTAGTTTGGATTGTTGCTTACAAGTACTAGCACAGAGTACTAGCACAGCTAGTACACCAATAGCACTCGCTACTGATCTTCAGAAACTTGGCCTGACTCTCACTCACAATAAGACTGTTGTAATGTTCATTGTACCCAAGCGGTCGCTGGTTTCTCCCACAATTTCATCGTACTGTTGCATGACATGCTGTACGACATCTTTATACCGTACAACGCCGTACTGATGTCTTTGATGGTACGGTACGGGACAGATAAATTAAAGCTGTGTGGACCCTGGCTAGCGCCAGACGTTACTGAAGTACAGTCAACTTCGATTATAACGACACTCGGCGGGGCATCAAAAAGGTGTCCTTATTCGCGAAGTGTCCTTATACCCGAAGTCTCAATATATGTATTATAGTGGGATGGGACTTTGCTCTGGGCATGGAAATTCTGTCGTTATTCGCGAATTGTCGTTATACCCGCAGTCGTTATTAGCCAAGTTGACTGTACCGTCTTTTGCATAGCTACGGGAATTAAGAATACTGTATAGAAGGAAATATTTGGACGGAAATATTTTTGGACAAAGCCGAATTTCAACCTTTCAAACGGATTATATTTTCGTGCAGTGCTGCATGCCAAATACACGTGTTCGCAAGGAGTATGCATGTAAAGTGTACATAATTTTACGAGAACAAATTTTAGTACGGAATTAATTTTAGTACAAAAGAGGCCGTGTACGAAATCGTACGAAAATACATTCTGTCCGAAAATTTCCTGCTATACAGTATTACATTGGCGCTGCAAGCAGGGTGACCGACCACCCGCCATTCGGCCCCCTGGACCTTTTTCAATTTTTGTCTGCCTCTACGATGCGGCCAACACGCTGGCCCGCCTGGAAACAGAGTTTCAAGGTCTACCTCGGTGCGTCCAACATCAGCGATGCCCACCAACAGTGTGGGCTACTCCAGTACATGGGAGGAGATGATTTCCAGCAACTCATGCCCACTCTCAGCAACACAGGGACAACATTCGACGACATCGCCAAAGTGTTGCAGGACGAGTTCGATAAACACCAAAACAAAACTCTCTTCAGGTACAATTTCCGTCAGCTTTGCCAGCAGCCGAACGAGACTATGGAGGGTTTCTGTTGTCGATTGGGCGACCACGTGAAATGCAGTGGCTTCCCGGATTCTGCGGCGGAGAAATTGGCTGTCTTGGACCAGCTGATCATAAGCTGGAAGTCCGACTCCCTTCGGCGAAAATTGCTGGAAAACGATGGCCTCGAATCTGACGAAGCTCTCTCATATGAGGCCGGGATCTATTCATGCACACCAACTACTTTGCTAGCCACAGCCTGACCCCCACTGAGCAGCACTAACGAAAAGCGAAGCCCTCTGCGTGAAATAGGGCTGTTTGCGCCTCTCCGATTTCCTCAGCGGCGACCCCGGCTTCACGGTCCACACAGACCACAAGCTCCTTCTACAGCTGCTTAACCCATCTTCACGACCTCCGCCCCGCATTGAACGGATAATGATGGCCATTTAGGTCTAAGACCTCCACTTCCAGCTGGTGTATGAACCTGGCCCCTACCAACCCAGCAGACGTCTTGTGCCGTGACCCTCAGCCACATCCTTCCCTGCCAAATGTTGGTGAGGATGAGGACACTGCCTATATCAATACCATCGCGTAGTCCTCTGCTGCCAGCGCCCTCCTCTTGTCTGACATCCAACCCGCCACTCGAGCAGACTCCATGCTCCTGACCGGGCTGCTGTCACTGCAGCCGTGCATGCGGGATGACAGGGCAGTGGACATCTGCCTGTTCTGCACACAGGGGCACGAACTATCCGCCGCCGATGCTCTCCTGCTCAAGGAGTATCGTCTGGTGATACCACTGTTTCTCCGAGAACATACACTTCAGCTGGCCCACTCCGCACCAGGGCATAACACGGACCAAGAAACGACTCTACGCGAAAGTCTGGTTGCCTGGCATGACGTCCTTCTGCCGCCAATGCCTCTCCTATCAGGCAAAGACACCAACTGGCCCATACTGGCCGGAATCCACCCCAGCTCCACAATCGAGGGTGGCATGGCAACAGGTGTTTGCCGACCTGTATGGTCCCGCTACGGCTAGCGTCCTCTCAGTTCTCCGCAGTGTCTTTGCCGTTTTCGGCCTGCCAGAAAAAAGGTTGTCTGACAGCGGCCCCCAGTTCCGCTCGTCTGAGGTCAACCGCTTCCTTGGCCAGACGGGAATCGCTCACCGTTCCACACCTCCCCGCTGGCCCCAAGCCAACGGTGCAGTGGAGCGGATGAACCGAACGATCGGCAAGGTCCTCAGCACTGCCCAACTGGACCGCCAAGATTTGCATGCTGCACTTGACGAGTGGCTATTCGCATAGCGCGCCACTTCCCACTCCGCCACAGGCCTGCCTCCTGCTACCACCATGTTCGGCCGCAGCATCCGGGACACCCTCCCCAGCCTGTGCATGGCCCCAACACCAGATGCGACCATCACGGCGAACAAGCAGCATGCGTTCCGTGACCGCCAATGTGAAATAGTGAACCAATATCGCAGTGCACAACCGGTTTCGACCATCACCTTCAAGCCGGGTCACCAAGTTCTGCGCAAGAATGAATGGCAGCACAACAAGCTCAACTCGATCTGGGGCCCTAACCCATGGACTGTGGATGAGATGACGAGCTCCACCGTGATCATCACCCATCCAGTCACAGGCCAGCGGGTCTCTAGGTATGTGTCATTTAGTAAGCCGGCTCCCGCTGTCATGATCCATCCTCCTTCGCCCGAGCCTCCATTCCCTACCCCAACGCCATTGACAACATCACCACTGCCCGACCGGCGGCGTCGGCAGCCAACGCGCTCGGCCAAGGCGGCCCAGAAAAACATTTTTTGCCGCCTGATGTAGGCGTGCGTCATGTCCACCATGAATCTTAGACTGGGGGGATTTTTCCATTTATCCTTTGTGTGACTGTTTACCTGCTCCGCCTTTTCGATATGTAGCATAGGGAGAGGGACAGCCTGACATCAAGTCAGTTTTTATCCATTCCTCATGTTTTCAGTTTTCACCCTACGTTTTTTTCTTTCATCTCTGCTTGGGAGAGATATAGTGTCCAGGTCTACACACGCGCTGTGGCTGTGGCATTCCTTGGCCACCCCAGACATCCATCATAGTAGTACATCGTGATACGTACTACTACGCGAGAAACGGACTTCGCGGCTTTTTGTTGCTGTGTGTGGGTTGAGTCTGGACTCTTGTTGTTTTGGACTGGAGAAAAAAGTACAAGTAAAAAACATAGAATAATAAAATAAAGAATTCTGGTGAAAAAGGAGAAGGACAAAATGTCACGAGTTATGACTAACTGTCCACCAACGTAACCAGATCTTATACATTCAGCGAGTGCGATAAAATGGCACAAAACTGACAAGGACATTTTGTCCTTCTCCTTTTTCACCATAATTTAATTGGCTCACCATCCGAGTTGAAAATAAAGAATACAGTATGCTTTTATTATTATTATGTAATGACCCAAAGGCAATGTGCCAATCGAGGAGTTCATTTGATTGAAAGAACAGTAGATGTAGATGTATGTACAAAGACAAGAGTATGGATTGATGAGGAGAGAAATGGGGAAAATCAACTGCAAGGTGGCGGAATTCCGTTGATTGCATAAGCATGGTCAGCTGCAAATTTCCTGAGGGCAGCTTTGAACTTATAGAGCGAGGCTTCCGATGTTAGACTGGGGGTAAACAGTTCCATAGAATAGCTGTTCAGAAGGATGCTTTGAATAGTGTCATGTTTCAATCTTTATGCATTGAGTGCCATAGGCCGTGTCTCATTGTACGCTGTGTTGTGGTCAGATGAGACCACAGGACTCTGGCTGTCATATCGGTGGTGATTCATCCTTTTATTTCATGTAGTTCATGTACCACTGCATTGTACTGTAGACTACCGTGCTAGCATTGCTTGCAGCTGCCTGCTAGTGCTGTTACGCATGCCTGATTACGAGCTTGCCCGGCGAGGGTATTATTCTTGTGTATGTTCAAGCATAATGCGGACTTCTGGGTGAACAGAAAGAGAACAGTCATTACTTTTAGTGTCCAAGCATTGGGCGGAAGAAGTGAGTCTCTCACAAATGGAGAGCATTGTGTACCAGAGCGGGTCTCTCACTATCGGAGAACTCGGGGTCTCAGTTCTTCATCGGAACATTTATTGGTAGCAGAGGATGGTTACAATAGCAGTTCGGAATTTTAGGACTAGCAGGATTGGCTCTCTTCCATAGTCCACTTTAAGCGCCCCACTGTATAGTAATGATACTGGAATACTACGGTTGCACTTCCTGAAATCCGATCCAACGTGCAAAACTGGTGCCCTGCACAAGTCTTGATTACATCCGATTATATTTGTACATACAGTCAGCTTTGCGTATAACGACACTCGGCAGGGCATCAGAAAAGTGTCCCTATTCGCGAAGTGTCCGTATACCCCAAGTCTCGTGATAATGTATTACACTTAGTTGGGACTTTACTCTGGGCATGGAAATTCTGTCATTATTCGTGAATTGTCCTTATACATGTATCCGCAGTCGTTTATTAGCAAAGTTGACTGTACTATTACTAGTCTATTAGTATGTACGGTCAGCCGCATTTGTGCCACTTCCAGGGTGTCAAGTAAATTATCGTGTCCGTTCCCGAAGGGAACTCACGACGGCCGCTAACACCCGGTAAACCCTAGCGGCAGATGCAGCACCTAACGGTGGGGGTGAGTGGATAAGTCTCACAACCACTGGCACAAGTGCCGAGAACGACCCCGTTAGCTGCATCCATGTACCTCTTGTGCCTGGCCACAAGTTCCCAGTTGACTGTGAGTAGCAGCACGGCTGGAAAAACCGCTCCCTGGCAGGACTTGAACCAGGTACCTCTCGTATCTCAATCATGGTCTTTGACCAACCCACTGTGCCTGCCTGGTCAGGGTGTCAAGTGCCAGGGTGTCGAGGCCTGGGCAAATTGAAGGCGCCAAATGTGCACTCCGGGTCGGATTTCACCAAGTGGACCTGTACAATGAACATGCACTTAGCTTCCATGGCCCAAGAAGGGTTACTATGGCTGACAATTCCGACAATGGACAGGTAAATGCCTACGTAACCCTACCTGAACATCCAAAAGGCAGATGGACCCAACTCTTGCCCGTGATCCCCGTCTTGTCGTAGTAGACGCAGGCATGACTGGAAGCGCTCTTGGCGGTTTGAAGATTTCTCGTCGTAGCGCTACTGATAACCACACCACCGACCAAGACCACAAACGTTAAAAACAGGGCGATGCCAGAGAGCATTAACTGCAAATAAGGAAGATGCCAAGCACAGAGTTTGGAAAAATTCATAGGTCGCGTTTTACTTAGTTAAACTGAGCTTTCTGCATCCGTAAGAATGCCACGACTCTTATAAGATAAAGGAAGTCGTGGAAATAACTTTAGTCTTGGACAGGTGGCTAGGCTTTCCCCAAATCGGCCCACCAAAAAAATCGCCAAAAACAAGACTTATCAAAAAATCGCTAAGCTTGTCGCCGATTTTGGACGGTTCCTTCAAGAATCGCCGAACATCTACCAAATGTTGTTGCAAAGTGCGTTTACGAACGAATGATGTTGCTGCAAACATGACCGCTCGAGCTCTCTACTTCCTTACTTGTGGTACTAGTGCGTTGAGGTCGTGTAGATCGTGTTCTTTGACCTCTCAAATAAACATTACTGTTGTTGGCCATTAGGAAGATCTTTACAAGTAAAATCTCCAAATCGGCCGCCCAAAAATCGCCGAAAACGAGACTTATCGAAAAATCGCTAAGCTTTTCGCTGATTTTGGAGGGCTGCTTTGAGAATCGCCGAAAATCTACCAAATCTTCCAATATCTCACCAATTTTGAAACCAATATGCAAACAATTTATTCAGCTGATTTTCCAAAACATTCCAATTTTGCAGCCGATTTTCAAACAATAAGCTGATTTTGCAGCGGAATCTGATGGATTTTGGAGCCGAGCGAGAAGCCGAATAGGCGAAAAACGGGCCGATTTGGGGAAAGCCTACAGGTGGCCAAGCAGTGGGGATGTTTACCATGGTACGGTACGGAGGGCCTGTTTTCAGCCAATCAGCGCCCGTCTAGCCATGGCGGGAAATTTATGCATATATCCCATTGTATTATTCTCTTTAAAAAAGATCTTATAGATGCATAGACAGGTCACGGTCTTACTCACATGCAGTTTAGTGCTCCTCTTTCCACCTCGACAACAGAACGATGATAACGCCACTATGTACAAAGACGTGGAGAACGCCTGCAGGAAATAGAGGTAAATGCCAGAAGTGGTGACAAGACACTACTGCACCTTTGGCATCGCACGCTTTCCAACGCATCACGTCGCTCGCATGTGAAGATGGCAATCTTCCTCATACATTATAGGATGGATTTGTTGCAACCTTGGTCAGCAACAGGCAGATTCAAGTTGACGAGTCGGCAGAGGCACATCACACAGGTGCGTACGGACTTGCTAGGACCTCAGGTGTCATGGCATTGGTATTTGATATTGATTTATTTGACTTTGGTATCTCAACAGTACAATGTACAACTTGGGAAGATCCGAATGATAGATACATAACCATAAAAGTCATAGTGGACTACAGTCAACTTAAGTACTTCGCTAATAACGACTGCAGATATAACGACAATTCGCGAAAAACGACAGAACTTCCATGCCAAAGAGCAAAATCCCATCTGACCGTATATGCATAATTATAATGAGACTTCGGGTATAAGCACATTTCGCGAAAAAGGATTCTTTTCTGATGCCCCGCCGAGCGTCGTGATACGCAAAGTTGACTGTACCTGGATGCTCTTACCTAGGACAGCTCACTGGGTAGATGCAGTCACAGGATCACCGCCACTGGTCGTCATACCACAGCAGTTCCTGTTTGCTGGTAGCTTCCAAGTTAAGCAAGCAACCGTGCTCCCCAAAAGCGCATAACTATGGTACGGAAAATTCACTGTTTTTGCGTCTACTTTGTGCACATTGTTCTCCGCCTGTTCCCTGGGTCACTCGAGAGCAGCGCCGCAGACTCTCTGCATTCAACTACATACTGGACTTTGGACTTTTAATGACTGACACAGGAACATTGGTGTAATATCACGTTTGACTGGTTGGATCCATGCACAGCCTGACTGGCGAAAACAAGGCAGTTGAAATTCACGTATTTGCGACACGCAAGCACGACTTCAAGCACAATCATTTCTCAGACCGAGTTTTCCCACACCCAGATAGAGCAGCCGCAGTTTTCAAGTTTGTAGCAAAATGCTTTCTTTTCCAAATTCCAGCACTTGTACAACACGGCGACCGGCACATGCCGGCGATGGACATGAATTTTAGGTTTACAATCATTAGCAGTGAATCACTTATGGAGACTTACCACGGCGGAAGCCCACAGGGCCTGAGAGGGAATTTTCAGCGATGCACCGTGGCCTCCTGACGACGACACGCCGGGCACTATGACGTACACCTGTAGACCAAGGTTGACCGTCGACAGGGCAAGGAGTAACACGGACATCCGCTGCAAATATTTCAAACCGCTAGGTCGCAGGCCCGCTGGCCATTCGAGTGCTTCTGTGGTCGGCAACGGATTGTACGAAGGTGAGCTAGCCATCCCTAGCACCCGAACGCAAAGACGCTTCTAAAACAGTTATCCTCAAATCACAGTCGCTGGCCACGGAACACGCGAACAAAACGGAAAACAAAAGTCAGCTTGCGTGATCGTGAGTATGAGCTTTTGACCGCTGAGCCGGTCAACACGGTAAATATAGACATACAATCATGTCCGTGGTTGGCTTGTGACATCCAGCTGCCGACTCGAGTCAAGGCAGGTAGCGTTTGTCGTTGGCGGGCGAGACTCGTCGAATTGCTTTCGCTGCAGTCACATCGTGGCCTCACTTTCGTGTGACGGATACTTGGCTGTGGTCAGCGTCGACAGTTACGGTACTACTAGTAAAATGACCAGTGGCGCACATGCCTGGCATCTTCAATTCCCATGGGGCTGGATTTCTGACTCCGTGTGGTGTTTGACTTTGTGGTGCGGCCTGTTACCATGTTGCTACATGTATCTCTGCGAAGAGGATAGCAATATGATCAAACGAAAATCTGGCATCCCAGCACATAATCCAATTCGGTCGTGCTAGTAGAATCACACAGACGGTGCCTGTCGCAGACAGCAGTGTTGTGTTTGGATGTGGATGGGCTGTATTTCTGTCCACAACAATGCTGATATTTGACATCTCTTTTAGCGATTAGCAAGTTGTCGTGATAATTCTGTTATCCAGCATTGAATCATGAATGCTTGCCTCGACGTATGACGTAAATCTATGACGAAATTAGTAGCGATACTCAGGGAAAGACTGGCTAGGTAAAAACTAAAAACCTCGTGTCCGCCTTGCATGATGCAATACTCGCCTCTAGGCGTTCCCCAAATCGGCCGGCCGAGAAATTCGCCGAAAACGAGACAGTCATATCGAAAAATCGCTAAGCTTTTCGCCGATTTTGGAGGGTTCCTTTGAGAATCGCCGAAAATCTACCAATATTGTTGCAATGTGCGTTTAGGAACGAATGATGTTGCTGCAAGCATGACCGCTCTATAATACGTATAGCTCTCTACTTCAGTACTTGTAGTACTATAGTCTGTTTCAAAAAGATTTACAATCAGGTTTGGGTCTTAAAAAGTATGAAGATAAGGGAAATTTGGACAACAAAGTACATAGAATGGCTTGTTAGGACACGGCAAATTGTTCTGTGAAGGTTTCGGAACAATTGGACCAACCGTTAAGGAGTTAGAATTTCGGCCAGGTTTCCGGCCTTTTCCCATGGTTTACAATTTGCCCAGGAAGCCAGTATCGATTTTTTATCAAAACCCACGATTTATCCTTTCCTTTTTGGCCTTGTGGTTATGAATGCTGTCTGCTGACCATGAAGTTGTGAGTTCAAATCCCAACCTATCCTCAAGTCAAACTTTTTTTTCATTGTTTTGGTGATCAAGCTGGTACAAGACAAAGAAGATGGCTGCACCAAACGACTTGTTGTTGGAGGTCGCGCTTCCTGCCGAACTGACTGACACTTGACTGGCTCACGCCATGTGAACACACCCACAACACTGCAATGGTGTGAGTGAATATGGAAGTCATCGCGCTGTAGCTTTTTGAGATTTATTTTTAGTATTTCAAGATCGCCAATTTATTTGAATTTTAATAGCAGTCAACGCCGTCTTCTATCAGCGTTCACAAGCGTCAGTTTTTCTCAAAATGTCGTCGAAGTCACACGGATAGCTTTGCCAAGTCATGGCCTTGGGAATGAGTCCGTGTCGATGTCGTTTTCGTCACACGGTGAGTAAATTGCATCGCAGCTCAAAGAAACTATTTTGGTCACAAAACGGATTGGGACACATGCCGCTCGTCAACATTTACAACACTTTCGTTTCGACATGTCCTCTCTGACTCCATTATCGATACGAGGAGGAACTCGTTTGTTGTAAACCAGACGTACGTCTGTGTCAACGTGAGTGAGTTGTCATTTTTCCTGCTTTCGCGCGGAATATTTCTTCGAGTTCACAGTGAGTTTTTCCAGGCAGCGCTCGAGTGCTTATACGGTAAGACGCCAAACTCCGCGGGCGATCGCCAGGGTTGTAAATCTTTTTGAAACGGACTGTAGTGCGTTGAGGTCATGTGACTGTGACAAACATTAGCCATTTTAGGAAGATCGTTACTAGTAAAATCCCCAAATCGGCCGGCCAAAACATTCGCCGAAAAAGAGACTTGTCAAAAACTCGCTAAGGTTTTCGCCGATTTTGGAGGGTTCATTTGAGAATTGCCGAAAATCTACCAAATCTTCCAATATCTCACCCAATATGCCAACAATTCTTCTAGCCGATTTTCCATTATATTCCAATTTTGCAGTCGATTTTGCAGCCGAATCTGATGTACATGTATTATTGAGCCGAGCGAAAAGCCGAATATGCGAAAAAACGGGCCGATTTGGGGAAATCCTCCTCCCCTCCGGTTTCCTACACCGACCAGTACTCGGTCAACATTTTAAAAAGCCTATCAGAAAAACATAAGGACTACTTCTTCGTGGAGACGTGTACCATTGTGTACGGTCATAGCTTGTAGTTATAGCGACAAGAAAAAGTACTAATTTCGAGCTATTCACCGCCATCATTGGGACTCAAAGGGCGCAAGTCAAGAATGTCGTTACTAGTAAGCAGTTTTCGTGCCTTCTCGTCAAGTGAAATACAGTGCCATGAAATTCAATCGCGTGAATCAAGTTTTCCGCCTGCGACAGTTCACACATATCAGTGTTCACCGGCATGGGTTGCACCGCGCCCCGTGTGTCATTCATTCACTTCTTGTCTCGGAGCAAGCACTGTCGCGCGCGTATTTCGGGGTTGTGATCCGGTCGAGGTACGCGTATACGTGTTGGCAACCTGGCCACGACCATGACTTGTGAATTTTAAAAATAATGATAAGCTAGGGAAACAGTTGTGTATGTTTCAAACATGCACGAGAGACTCCCCCCCCCCCACACACACACACAACACGAATCCATAAGCAGATTAGACACGTGTACAATTACAGTCAAATCTGTCTTTCCCGACACCTGTAAAGTGTGAGGACAAACCGTCAGTTCCATTGATTTTTTTCACCAAGTGAGAGGCCTCTTGTACGGGCAAAACAAAATAAAATTGGAATGAGTATATTTACTCAATCTGCGAACAGAACTGTTTCGTCCTTTGTGGACTCATCAGCGCAGCACAGAGGAAATGAGGCCGAACCTGGTAGCAATGAAAAATAAATTTTCCAAAGCCAGATTTAAACCAGACCCGAACGTACCTTGCCAGAGTGCTCAAACTTACAGAAGAATGAGTACTAGTATATTTATAGGGTACTGCAAATCAACAAATTTTCGCCGGTGAAAAGCTTTCGCCGATCTCCAAAAAAGACTTTTCGCCACCAATAAACTTTCGCCGTGCGCGTGCAAGGAGTCCAAAAAATGATCAATGTAATTATGTTTTGTGCGCGCGCACGTACGTACTAGTAGTAGTACAAAGGTCAGTGTACTAGATTGTGACAAATTTTGGCCAGCGATTAATTTTGGCCGATTGGCATTGACCGGCGAAATCAGCGAAATTAAATCACCAGCGAAATTTTATTTAAAAAAAAATTAAATTTCACGGTTCGCGTGAGACTCGGCTGGAAGCCGAGTTTTCCGCATCCGCCGTGGGAAGGCCACCACCCTCTAGGATCAAAGGCGCAGATGCAGCGCCTAAACGGTGGGAGGTGAGTAGATCAGACCCACCACCAAGTGGTCAAAGACCGAAATCCCATTAGCTGCATCCATGTTACCCTCGTGCCAGGCCACGAGTTCCCAATTAACTGTGGGTCGCAGCACGGCTGGAAAAATTCCTTCCCCTTCCAAGCAGGACTTGAACCTGGTACCCTCTGTTTCTCAATCAAGGTCTTAGACCATCCCACTATGCCTGCCTGCGAAATTTTATTGATTTAGAGTATATAAAAGTGGCGAAATTGCGCACTTTCTATTGATTTTGTACACCTTTTAGTACGCGCGTACTCTTGAAAATGCGGTCACTCGTGAAATACCGCCCGCGGCAAAGTATAATCGCATCCGTAAACAGACAAGATTCATGTGCATTGTAACTCGAACACAAGCAGCATAATATTGGTGATTTCATCTTAGTACACTCTGGCAAGGTGATTGGGAAAAATTAGGGTGGACATGTAAGATCTCGCATTGTGGCGCACGTTACTCACATGTATAATCACTCAACTAAAAAATAGAAAGAAAAAAGCCTCGTCATAAAAATAGAAAAGCTGATAACCACACGGGGCACACCTCTTTTCACCAATAGCTGTACAATGAACATACCACGTGAATTCGATAATAATATTGTTCAAATATCTCTCCACGAAAGAAAGTTGATTCCAGGAAATCCTTCTGAGTTACGCCACTAATATAATAAGATAATAGATTGATTTGAAACGGAAATATCGGTAAATCCTTGCCTATTAGAAAACATGTACCAAAATGGAAGGGACACATGTACACGTACATGTACATGTATATGAGTTGTGAGCAATCTAGATGTACGTAATGAGCACGATTTACTCTATATGTACTTCGAAGTATGTACGTCATCAATATGATTACTCTAACTTCAGAAATTTTCAGTGCTCAATATTTTCGGTATGAGAGCAAAAGGCCAGGTTAGGTGAACAGAAATGTTCGGTACAGAGAAGCAGTTCCCTATTGGATTATGTGTGTTAGGGTTTGTTCGGCGTATTGAACATTTAGGTATGAAATAGATGCACCGAAAGTACCGAAAATAAAAGTACACCGAAATTTAGTGAAATTACAATATCTAAACGTACATGTATGTGGTGATCACCCTTGAGTGTAGCCTTGAGGCAGTGTTACCATACTGTTGTTGCTACAGTAAAACCTGGTGCAAGCGACCTCCGTGTTTAGCGACCACCTGCTCTTAATAACGACCGTTTCTCCATGCACCGACAGCTCCACACAGGCGCTGTGGGACCTGGTTCTAAAGACCACCTGGCTTTAACGACCGCTTTTGCTTGCACCGCTGGGTGGTCGCAGGTTTTACTGTGCATGTGTGTGTGTACTGTACAATGCAGGGGTTTGAATGACAAACAAAGGCATATCAATTTCTTTAATTCTTCTAAACATTAAATCAGTGAGAGAGGAACAGAAGACTTCTTTGGGATGGGCACATTGCTGGTTCCAAACAATCGCCAGCAAAGCGAGCATCTCAGATGGCGCTCGGAATCATGCCTTGGTTGCAATCGTATCAGTGTAGGATGGAGGAGCCGTGGCACCAAGCCCTTCGCATGACATAGAAAAGAGGGGAAGATAGGGAGAGATTAAGAATCAGAACAAATCGTACAATATCATTTCAGGCCCGGCTGAACCGGCCCAGCTGGTCGGGCCATAGCCAGACCAACGTTTTGGCCATCAGCATCTGAGGGTGTAATGTACACATGCCCAATCATACGCAATTTATCAAGGGCTATGGTATTGCTGCACGTGTTTGCTGTACATTGGACACTGAGCATACTCATACCTCGGTTATCCGGACCCGGAAGTTACGCGCACTTCGGTCTACCGGGCAACCTTTGGGCGAGTTTCAGTAGCAATATTACTACTCATTCGTCACTTTTGGTGGAAATAGTGACGTCATGTGCCATAATGATGGCCTTTCCCCACCAAAATGTATGTTTTTCGGAGTTACGGACGGTGACTGGTCCTGGATAAACGAGATATGAGTGGACACTTTGCTGTTACATTTGGGGATACCTCTTATCGCGGTCTCATTGTATTACACAATAAACGAGGAAAACTAAGTCTCTACCAACAATACCAGTCGAGGACAGAGAGCATGTGTCAGTAGGGGTGCAAATTGGCATTCAACAGGTGCGGATCCGGGGGGGAGGGGGGGGGGAGTTCCGGGGGCTACCCGAAACCCTCTTAATTTCTCAAATATACTAGTGGAAACCATATGCATGCTGCATCAGCTGTTCAGTTTTCCCTGGATCCGCCCCTATTCAACCATGTGATACGTACTTGCTGCTGCTGCTGGATTCTGTGCTTCACAGGTACCACCATACTGGTATGGCCCTGCGGTGCTTGACCCGGCTGGTGTACCCGCTGCAGCTGCTGGGGCTGATACAGGGTAGGCCATTGTTGGCGTTACGGTGTACACCGGAGCAGTCTGTTGGGCGTTAGCGGTGAATGTCTGCGTACATAGGGGAAAGAGAAACAGAGAGACAGAGAAAGAGGGTAAGTTACATTTATAAAGACAGGTATGCCTAACAAATGAGTTTAGAGACATCCACAACAGGTCTTTTATGCATGAAAGCACATGCATGTTTTAAGAAGCAGGTTGTCCGTGTAGAGTTTTTTTGGCAGATTTTGTGCAGATGAATAAAAATTCACAGAACCATTGAGATGAGATGAAAGCATAAGTAAGACAGATAGATGGATAGACACAGAGAGAGAGACACAGTGAGGGAGTGTGTGAGAGAAAGAGGGAGGGAGACAGAGAAAGGCGTACACACACACACACACACACCTCAGACCTCGGGCATGCCCATCGCGGAAGCCATGATAGCGAAACGCTATGTTCCACATAGCAACTTGTGCTGGGATTACACCATTCAACAGCTCGCAAGGCTGATGAATTGACCGCCACCAATTTTCAGACACACCACACACACACACACACACACACACACACACACACACACACACACACACACACACACACACACACACACACACATACACCACACCACACACACACACACACACACACACACACACACACACACACACACACATACACACACAACCACACACACACACACACACACACACACACACACACACACACACACACACACACACACACACACACATAAACGTGCACTTGCAAAGCAAAGTCGGAACACCGTAAGAAACTCCCCTCGTATCGAAAAGACGATAACGCTATAATATTCACACCCTGCTTACCCTTGTTCCACTGGTGCGCATGCACACACCACCGTTGGGAGGAAACGGTCCACAGAAAGACGAACAAGCATAACACTGGCAGCATCCTACAATACACATCGTCACAAACATGATGGCCGACAGGAGCATGGAGACGCCGTAAATGATTGCCGATGTCATCGACATCGGATACACGTATGCTAGAGGAGAAGAAAAGAGCAAAAACCGAGAGGACTGGATTAGTATCGTACAGTGGAGTCTTGCCTTGCGGAGGGATGAGGAGGAATCCCAGGACTTTTGCCTTATAAACAGCTGATCTTCATGACAATGTCGACTAAATCCCAGCATTCATGATTGTCATTTGTTTACAAGGTTTAGATAAAACGACCACCCGTTCTGGTTAACACATCTATGGGTCCTGTGGTGGTCTTCATAAAAATGTCTGATCATGTTTACAGAGTCGTTCAGTAAAGTCATGGACGTGAGACTCGGATACAGCGTCAATTTGGGGTCTGTGTCTGCAAGTCGGTCTCTCAGTCTGTCCTTCTCTCTGTGTCTCTCTGTCTCCGTCTCCTTCTCTCTCTGTCTCTCACTGTGTGTCTCTCTCTTTCTGTCGCTGTGTCTCTCTGTCTGTCTCTCTCTCTCTCACTCTGTCTGTCTGTATGTCTGTCTGTCTCTCTCTCTCTCTTTCTCTCTCTCTCTCCCTCTCTCTCTCTCTCTCTCTCTCTCTCTTTCTCTCTCTTTCTCTCTCTCTCTCTCTCTCTCTCTCTCTCTCTCCCTCTGTCTGTCTGTATGTCTGTCTGTCTCTCTCTCTCTTTCTCTCTCTCTCCCTCTCTCTCTCTCTCTCTCTCTCTCTCTCTCTCTCTCTCTCTCTCTCTCTCTCTTTCTCTCTCTTTCTCTCTCTCTCTCTCTCTCTCTCTCTCTCTCTCTCTCTCTCTCTCTCTCTCTGCATGTCTGTCTCTCTCTGCCTCTCTGTCTATCTTTCTCTATGTCTCTCTCTCTCTTATTCTCTTATTCTCTCTCTTTCTCTTTCTCTCTCTCTTTCTCTCTTTCTGCATGTCTGTCTCTCTGCCTATCTCTATCTCTCTCTCTCTCTCTCTCTCTCTCTCTCTCTCTCTCTCTCTCTATTTCTCTCTCTCTCTCTCTCCCTCCCTCTCTGTCCCTCTCTCTCTCTCTCTCTCTCTCCTCTCTCTCTCTCTCTCTCTCTCTCTCTCTCTCTCTCTCTCTCTCTCTCTCTCTCTCTCTCTCTCTCTCTCTCTCTCTCTCTCTCTCTCTCTCTCTCTCTCTCTCTCTCTCCCTCTCTCTCCTCTCTCTCTCTCTCTCTCTCTCTCTCTCTCTCTCTCTCTCTCTCTCTCTCTCTCTCTCTCTCTCTCTCCATTCTTTTCACCATCTTTGGGCGGGTTTGGGAGAGCAAGATCATTCCAAGGCAGTGGCAGGTAGCGTGTATCACACTCCTGGCCAAGGGGGAGGTGTCTGATGATCCTTCGAAATTCCGACCGATTGCTCTAGCAAACACGTCCGGGAAGATCTTTTTCACCTTAGTTGCAAAGCGCCTCTTGAAACATATGCTAGGCAATAAGTTCTTCGATGGTGACAACCAGAAAGGATTTATGCCTGCAAAGGCTGGGTGCTTAGAGCATACATCACTTTGTTATGAGGCGATGCGTGATGCAAAGACGGCAAAACGCCAAATTTGCATTGCGTGGATAGATTTAAAGAATGCATTTGGTTCAGTGCGCCACAATCTGATACAGTATGCTCTAACCCACTACAGCCTTCCTTTGCAATTCAGGAAATTAATTTTTTCCTACTACGACAGTCTTTGCGCTTTCGTCGTACAACCACACACTCCCACCTTTAATTACAACATTGGTGTTTTCCAGGGGTGCCCCTTGTCCCCGGTCCTTTTCAATATTTGTTTCCAGCTTCTGCTGGACTCACTTGCAGCCCCTGAGTTAAGTTGCCTCTCCTATGATTTTAAATCTGCCCCTTTGCAAGTGTCCCAAACAGCTTTTGCTGATGACTTAGGCCTCTATAGCAAATCTAGTGCAGGTTGTCAAAAACTCATTGCGGTCACGGAGGACTTTCTCTCGTGGACCCAATGTATGCAAGCGGCGCCGCACAAATGCAAAAGCAGTGCAGCAAAGCTTGTAGATGGCCGGTACAAACCTTACGATTCCTGCCTGACGATGTCAGGGAGGAAGATCGCTTTCATTGACACTGCAGAGTTCAAGTTCCTGGGGCGAAGGCTGCATGCTGATTGCTCTGAGCAGACCCAGCGGGAAGACATCCGTCAACTCACTGTATCTCTCATGCAAAAAGTAGATGGCTCTTGGCTTCAAGACCACCACAAGCTATGGCTTTACCACCATCTTGTAGTGCCCAAGCTTTCTTGGTCTTTCCAGGTTCTTGAACTCACACAAGGTTTTGTACGTGAACTGCACTTTATGTGTTTACCATTTCTGAAGAAATGGTCAGGCCTACCTCGATGCGCAAACTCTGCCATTCTTTTTATTGGCAGTCGCAAACGCTTTGGCTTACGCCTCCACTACCTTCCTACGGTGTGGAAAAAGTGCCAGTCCATCAAATGGCACATTCTTCGATCGAGTGGGGACGCGCGCATGAGGGCGCTGTACACTCTGCGTCGGAGTAAGGATGCGAAGCTGACAAAGCGATATGCGGCGACAATAGAG